TTTAGTTTTTCATATTACCCCAACATTTCGCTTTCCGATACTGAAAACCGCACCTTTTTAGCTGCTTCTTAGAAAAAGTTATCAAAGAAATGGCCGTGCTTCTTCTTTTTTGAAATGGATAGTAATTGGGGTTCTTCTTAGCGTATCTGACTGGAAAAGATTTATTTATCAGAACACAATGCATCATTAAATTTCCTAGTGGAACTTCTTGAATCAAGATCTTGATAAGAAAATGTAAGAAGTTAGAGTCAGTCCTAGATCTTGGAAATTCTTGAACCGTGAATAGTTTTGTTTTACAGTCTTGTGTAAAGCACACACACTTAAGTGAAAAATGTAAATTATCACATTTAAGTGAGAAATTTTCTTTACCTTTTGTTTTCATGTATGGCAGCCATAGTCATCAGATATACGACTATATATAATCGTAGGTTCTTCCTTACATAACTATGTTCAAGAGGAAACAACTCGGAATCATTCCAAGTGTGAAAATATTCGCACTTATATTTTACACAAGAGTGTAAAACAAAACGATGATTCTAGAGTTTAAAGCTAAATGCCGATAATATGGATTTTGTGCGAAAGGCAATAAGTTTAGGGTTTTCTTTCTCGCAAAAAAGAATAATCATTTAAAACAAGTGGTATCAGATTTTACAGTGTAAAATTCCACATTTTTTGACCTTAAAATAATTATCTACAAGTTGAATTGAGAGATCAGCAACGCTTTTGCAAAAGAAGTTAAGTTTAGTCTATATCGTTTATAAAATTAGAATATTTTAATATCATGAAATTTCGAAATTAATTTTAGAACAAAATCGGTAGTTTCCTACAGAATTAAATTCGCGTCCTTTTGAGTTCAATATTAAATCTTAAAACGCAAATCAATATATATAAAAATTTAATAGAAAAGTGCTTCAGGACTTTCGACCTACCCTATATCAATGAGATGCACCGTAGCCAATTACACATACAGATAAATTCTTATTTTTTGATTAAGATTGTAATGTATTTCAAAGGCTCCAAAAGTTCCAATGAAAGTGTTTTTCAGAATCCGTTGAACCAAAAAAACAATCATTTTTGGAGATGAAGAGTTCCGTATCAATTAAAATCGATATGCAACTTTTTTAATGTAAAAAAATTTAGTTTTAAGTGGAGAATAAATAGAAACAATTATATTTATGCTCCTATTTGGATAAAACTAAGGTGCAATCAATTTTTCGGTTGTATGAGCTAACAGAAAAAGAAAAGATAGCTTTCTGTGTAACTCGATAAATTCTCTATTGGTCTATAGATAACAAAAGTAAGAAGCATTCTGATCTAGTTTTGAAATGCCGGAATAGTCAAGAACTTTATATAGTTATAAATACTACTCTTTTATATAACGACATTTTCGATTGCCTCACGGGTACAGTTGTTGTACGTGGTCTCATTTCATTTACCTTCTTATTTTGAGACAGTTTGTCTAGATAGTAAACTCGACATTTTACTTATAAAATCGAAATTGATACCAAATAAAATCGATACCATTGACGATCGAATATTGATGATTGAATCTCTTCAATAAAAATTTATCTTCAACAACGGAGTAGTTTGAGTGCAAACAGCTCATACGGATCCTTGATAAGAGTTGTGTAATAGGCTAGAATGTCTTGACATTGTACATGTTTTGATGTTAATCCAAGGGCATACTAAGTCATACATATTTATATCTATTCTTTTCTTAGAGGACTCCAAAACTCGATTCTGAACGACTTATATATACAAAGTTCTACTCTAAAATGCTTATTTCGAGGGAAACTAGCCATAAGACTTGTTTCAAAATACATTTAGCTTGAAATTCCATCGGGAAACTTAAAGTTAAATTTCTACGCTAAACTTCATTCCGAACTATTCTAGAATTAACTCTTTATATTAAAAACTGAAGTTTTTATTGAAATTTTAAAATGAAACTCTATTTTAACTTTTTTTTATCAAAAACTAGAAGTTCTAGGGGCGCGTATTCCCAACTACACTATGCCTTAACATACGTCAAAGATCACGTATGAGACTGTTTTATCCGTTGAGAGACGTTTGGCAAGCCTGATCGAGATATACAGTCTCACTCTGTTTTACAAACAGTTATATACGGGCAGAAAGAGAAAAGTCATCGTTATGAATGTTCGGTCCTCGGTGTCCAGTAAGAACCAAAATTGTGGTTCTCTTACTTTTTGTTCTTCATTTCAAATCGGAATCACGGTTTCAGTTCCACTGTGAGGATCGGGAGTACGATTCGTTAGACGATTCCACTTTTTCAGAATCAAAACTTCTTTCAATCAGAAGTAATAGAATTATATTTCGATAAATCACTTATATTTAGCGTTCATAAGTATCGGGATTAATAATAAGAGCATCACATTGAGTCACTCCTAAAGCCAATATACAGAAGAAATATTTCTTTTCTCTTGCCACTTTGTGCAGTATAAGCGAGATATTGTGAATTTTGATAGCATTTTGCATGATTCCACTTTTTCCCGGTTTATCTCACTATTATTATTCTTTTACAATAAAGTATGAATAGCGAGCGGAACATGAAGAAAAAAGTTATTTAATATCTGCTTAGTTATCGCAAAAAAAGAAAGCTTTTTTTTTTGTCTCTTCTCTCTCAAAAAAATGTAGATAGAAGAAAAAAGATGTTCATTCGTTGATAGTCACTGTTGCAGGTATAGTTGTATTAATACAAGTTTATTCCTTGTTTACATTTGAAAGTAATTTAATTCAACCGTTTCTTATTGAGTATTCATCTGTATGAATGAAATTAATAAGTCGACCGTTTTATATTATGACAGTTGAGAAGGTTGTCTTTCTTATACAATAAAATAATAGCCTTTCACGATAGAAGTCCATTTTTCTAATTATATATGTCGAACTTGATTAATAATATAGAATTATAAATGTCTGAATTAAGGAAAACACAAAGCAATAACTAGAGAGCAACGCCTTGATGAGTTGAAAAAAATACACATTTTTCTGTCAGATCGGATATGAAAAGACAGATGTTTGTGTAGGGTAGGATAGATCTAGAATACATGAATTTTTCATAGAATGAAATTACAGAGAATGCTATTTAAAAATTTTATTTTGAGCAGAAAGTATAGTGTTTAGTAACATTGATCAAATATGCTTGTGTTGATGTTGTCAGTAACCTATCCCCTATTTTATCTAAAACTGTATGAATTTCTTACATCATGCACCAAAATACACGTAGCGGACTCAAAATCTGTTGCTCAGAAATTTTTTGTTAAGGATGCAGTATTATAAGATTAATACTGGATTTTCAAAAAAGTAAGACACAGAGCATTAGACTTGAGTAAATAATTAAAAAATTTCCACGAAGAAGACTATAGGATACTAAGTTGTTTTTCTTATTAAATAGGAGATTAAATAGGAGAAGTACTATCACTCTCTTTCACTCTTCCAGCACACATTCAGTTTTTTTCTCTCTTCTGTAAAGAAGGATGTGTGCTGCATACGCGAATAAGTCGATTGGGAAGAAAATTTTCTCACGTATCGGAAGAACTAGGATATTTGAAAAGAAGCGGATTTGATCTTTCACCGTAAGGAAATTAATCAATATATGTAAGAGAGGTTCGCTCTTTTCTCTAAATTTACTGGATGTCACACGCGACATACATATTTAGAACTATCTAGATATAGAAATATTCATCTTACATATTATATGTATATATATCATTCGAACGTAAGCTTTTAAAGATCATCTTTTTTGTTTTTTTGCTTGTTCATTACATCGACGGAAAAGGAAATATTGTTATTCATAAAAATTAGTTATTATAGTTAATTTATTATAGCTGAGCCCTCTTATTCGTACATGTAATTATACTTTATAATTTTGCTTTTTACTACTACAAGGCTTTTGTTATGGTTAGAAATCTACTGCTTTTCTTTTAATTACTAAATATTTTCGAAACATTGACATCCTGAATCGTAACATCTAATATGAACACAAGTCTTTTAATTATTACAAGAAATATACTTGTACTTTAACAATGAAATTTTTTCATGAAACAAATAATCTTTTGTTAATAGATGATGACTGTTTTAAACTAAGTTTATAATTCGATCATGACTGCTTGTATAACGTCGCCTGATGATGTTCAATTTGCTTTAACATATTGCACAACGTTAATCCACTCGAATGATACATCTGCCGAAATAAATTCTCTGCTATTATTAAAACGTGTGAGGACAATAATAAAATTTTATATATGGCCATTAGTAGCGTTGTTTGGAATAACCGGAAATTGTTTATCAATCATCGTTTTAACACGTCAACGCCTAATTCGCACAACAACAAATAATTATCTAACAGCTTTAGCTCTATTTGACTCAGGTTATCTAATATTTACCACAATTCTAAATTTGGGTTCGCATCCATATTTTGAAAATGTAGATTTGATGAGTATTCTACTCTATTTAATCAAACCATTAGCAGATTGCAGTAGTAATACAGCTGTATGGCTCATTGTATGTTTCACACTTGAACGGACATTAGCAGTAGCAAAGCCTATGTACGCTAGAACATTGTGTACTATTCGCCGTACACGAATGGCTATAACAATTGTTTTATTCTCAAGCTTTTTAGTAACTTTACCAACATTTTTCGAAACAAAACTCGTACGAGACACGCCAGATCATTTAAGAATGAATAATTCAACTATAAAAAAACAACCACACTTACGTATTCAATATAAAGAATTATTTAATAATAGTTTAATTCATCGGATTTATGTTGTATTTATTTGCGTTCTTATTGTTTGGTTACCACTTCTTCTTCTCTGTCTGTGCAATTCAATATTAATTTGGTAAGTAATTAAGACGATTACTGCTTGATGTGAAGATGAGTGAATATATAGTTTTCCGAGTAGAAATGTTAAATACTTTGTGCTGAATATTCTAGTGAACGTGCTTGATTATTTGGTAAGTATTCTCAAAATTGCCATGCATTTTTACCAGTACTTCTCCAAGATTGAAATACTTGATTTGATTGATACGAAGTATGTTGAGAAAGTATCTACAATTAAGACAAGTACGTATTTTTACGACTAAATTTATAAAAACTTCTAAGATCCGGAAAAAGGACTTACTCTGTGCAGAATAACATCAGAAAGTATTCGAGTATTTTTTGAGGTAATTATTAAGATGATCTTAATTTCCAAGTACCTATGGGAAAAATCTAGATACATTTCATCTGTAATCGGGCGCCTAGATTACTAGTGGGATAAAAAGCTTTTCTCTAGATGCGTCTGCATGTACAACTAGTAATAGTTAAATCGATCGATTATTGGGTGATAAATCGATGGTTGCAACTGAGGTGAAATATAGCAATCGTTCGATTGCTAGATTTCTACTGTCATTAGCAAATAATTGTAATCGAGTAAAAAATTTAGTAAGATCTAGTTGAATCGGGGGATACTTGAAATTTTTTTATGCTTGGCGTATAAGTGCTCGCTCATTTCTGGTGCGATGTACTAAGACCCATAGCAGAGTAAAAGAAGTGAGCCATAATCTACGGAATACAGTTTGTAGTAGGAATGGGCGCTCTCAGTGCCTTTCTTAAGTTGACTTATACTTAAACTAATATATGAATATATTCTTTTTGAAGTGGTATCAGACCACTTGTGTTAGGTTTTCTTTACTACCGCTAATTCACTCGAAGTAGATTAACACTGCAATTCTATGTCGCAATAGATCTCATTAAATAATAGCAGTATTCATTTTTGTTTTGAGGTACGTTCATCGTTTTAAAAACTATGATGATTTTTGTCAAGCCAATGGCTCCACTAATGATGAAAATAATCGTCATCCTTCAATTTTAACAAACAAAAATGATTATAATAATCGTAAGTTTTCGTTATCCTCACTCGCTTCATCCTCCAACAGTACAATCCAGCTTCGCCGTCACAGTCGATCATTTGTTCAAAAACGTAAAGTAACCATCATTCTCATATTTTGCTTATCTGTTGCCGTCCTTCTATGGACACCACAATCATTATCCCTTACCTATGAAATAGTTGTTCAACGTTCGTCGAATATGACTAGAGAAGAACGGATACTTTTGTTGATATTTAATAATTTTGCTAATTTATTTTTGTGTATAAATGCGTCGATCGATTTTATTCTTTATTGTTTTTTGTCAGACAAATTTGCTCGTACATGTAAGCAAATTATTTGTCGACAATGCAGTAGTCACAGACAACTACTAAAACATCGTAATCGAATGTTATCTCTCGATCGTACATCGTTAAACCGAGGGGATACATGTGCCAAAATAAAATCGCAACGTCAACAAAGTTCGAATAGTATCAACAATTATTATTTGCAATTATATACACTGTATGAAATTGGAAGTAATTTATCTCATCAAACAAGTCATCACCATCGAGTGCCACGAGCAACAACAATGTCATCGTTAAATAAGAATGAACGTAAAATTATCTATCGAACAAGCGCAACACTAGATAAAAAATTGCTACCAACATCGCTATTAAAACGAACATTTCAGAAAAAAGATATATCACTAAATGATTCACGAAAACTTAAGTCAAATAGACTATTAGTTACGCAAATAATCGACTGTGAACGCACGTGTGCAACATTAATTGACAAGGATGATGGTGAAATACTGAGAAAGTTATGTCAGACGATAGAAGAAAAACAGATTCCTATCAAACAGATTTCAAAACATTGTAGATCATTATCATTGATGAATATCGGACACACTTCACATCACTTAGATACAGTAATAGCACCGCTAAGAAGGTATAGAAGTTCTGGTATAGGTGTTTTCCAATGAAGTATTCTACTAGCCTTTTATACTTTTAATTTGTAACGAAGAACACTTTATTCAGGCATTTCGGTTTCCGTAAACATCTTTGTACTGTCTTTCAAGTTAATCAATGGCAAATTCTTATTATTAGTTATGAAGGTTAAGTATATTAACCGAAGCGTCTGAATAAACTGTACTCCATTACAAATTAAAAGTGTGGAAGACTATTGGCATAAATGTGTGTCAATCGTATCGGAAAATCGATTTTTATAAATTTTAAAAATCAAATGAATTAAGAGAACCGCCTTGAAACACGGTAAATTATACGATTCATTGAATCTCAATTATACCTTCATAAAATAAAGCTAATCATCGGAATATATCATGATAAAGATTCCACTTCGAAATATTCAGTTGTTCAAGGGTTATATGAGATGCAAAGGGCAAATTAGAGCGTTAAACAACATACATTTTTCTTTTCATCATGACAAATTAGATATATCCTGTAATTTTGATCTCATTGGAGTCAACCTTTATGGAGATACAAACTCGAGAAGATCCTTGAACAATCTTCCTTTAACAAAGATTTTCATGTTTACTTTCATATGAAAAGATGTATGACTGATCTCGGAATCTCAATTAGTTACCTGGTTTTATTCACGGGATAGCCATAAAATAGCTATATAATTTTGGAAATAATAGTATGTACTTCAACATGAAAATTCAATGTGAAAATTTGAAAATTTTCTCTCGGTTACTCTTCGGCATGCATTTCAAGTTAATGAGTAAGTAATTAACTTGTCACTGTCACAACGTGCACCGTTACGAAGAAACATGCACCTAGCTGAATTTATAATAAGAGAATAATCAATGTATTCATGCAAGAAGAATCTACTTTATAAATGAACCTATTGAAAAAAAGGAGTTAATTGAAGCATCAGTGCACTAGTTTAGTTTGACAGTCTGTCAAAAAAGATTTATGAATTAACTTGAGATGTTGTGTATGGGTAAAAGATTTCAGTATGTTCAAAATGACTGTTGAAACATTTTTATGCAGGACTTAAACATTATATGGTTCATCAACCTTTTTACTCTATCTTGAAACTATTAACATTTTCTAAGCGAAAATATCATACACGTATGGTTTCTTTGAACTTTTTGCAGATGATGAAGAGGAGAATTGACTTTACCGTAGACAACTCTGCACATGATATCATTGTGCAACTACATGTGGGTTGGATGAATTATTTATTTATTATTCTGTTATTTTTATTTTACTCTTACGCCAACATAGGCATATATTTCTCTTCATTACAGATTTATATCACAAATCTTTGGACTGGAATGAACCACGATGCATATACAACTAATGTATCACACAACTTATGAACCTACCTCAAACATCCTCTTACATGCCCAGACGTATGATTATCGTATGTGGCACAAGGCCATACATCTCGTATATCCTGTTTCAATATCTCTAGCGTGTAACAGAAAATTGATGCATTATATCATGCAAAAGAAGATGCAATCCTCCCTCATGTTATTTTTTCTATTCAAAAGTAATAAACACTTGAGTTACACGACCCTCACATTTCTTTTCTGAATGTTTGAGAGTCATTCAAGTACAAAGCAGATGAAAAATGACTATTTAGGTATTGTATTATCAATTACAATTCTTACGTTCATCAAAGAATTCCATTTTTCTAATTGTGCTTTTCTTCTGTAACTAGTTTATAGAATAATATTCTTTAGAGAGAGTATAATATTTTATACAAAGAGTCAATTTGTAATAGTTTAATATAGTTCGATCTCATATAGATAATAAAAGAATAAATAACGTGAATCGCATCGATTCACTAGGTCCGTTGCCTGTAAGTCCTGTACTCTCGGAATTATTATTCATTCTGTTGTAACTCGATCTTGCTACTACAGAATTGATGCATATTTTTCGCGATGAGAACGTCCATATTTTCCATCTTAGTTTACAGAACCATTTGCTTTAGCTTTTCATCGATGAGAAACGTTTATCAGAATTGCTATAGTTCATCCGGACCCTGTAATTTGATGTAGTTTTATCTGTCGTACAGATGTACGAATTGGACGTAATATTACCAAATCTATCAGTCTTCTTACCCTTGATAAAGAAACCTAAGTGGGGACAAAGTTTGGCCTTGTTCATCGAAACAACGCTTACATCTCCCTTCGGTCGGTGTTCGATAGAGACTGTCTACCATGCGTCATGATTATTTCTCTGACATGATGTGTCAACTCGTAAAGTACCTTCAATCTATACTAGGTTTCTCGACAGCCCCCAATTTTTAGACCCCAGAGGTCTAAAAAAATTTCTAAATTACAGACAATGCTCATCCGTCCGTTCGATCTGCGCTCGCAGCCAGGATAGGTGTTGCACTTTCCTGATTCTACATAAAGCTCGAACGCAAGCACCTCTGTGGACCAATGTCAATGACACTCATTAGTGATTCTGTATATGTACGTCCGGCAAACTACCCCATGACTATATGTATGTACGTCTGTCACACTCACTGGTCACTATATGTGTGTACGTCCGTCACACCCTCTGGTCACTATATGTATAGAATAAAGAAAATAAACACTACGGTTTCGATCCCATAGATAACAATCTAACTTATTTCATCTTGTAGCTCATAATGAAAAGTCAATGTAACCAATTAGAATATGCTGTAAGATAGTAACATTTGAAGAACCTAAAACAGTGTTAATTTTGTTATTAAAAGAGGTATATACAATTACTAATGTCACTAGGAATTTTATACATAATCAGGTTATTTGACCTTTTAAAGGTCTTGCCTAGTTTTTCTTTTTAACATTGAGATTTATTGTCTCTACTAAACGAAGTTGGCACATAAAAGAAAAGAAAAAAGCAAAACAAAAGGATAAGTATGATGAACACCTGATATGATTATATGAGGAGATAATTTTAATATTAATATCGAAAGTAAAAATTAATGAATAAATAACAAGAACAAGAGATATAGATAAGCATCGAGGAAGAACACACATATACTATTTTTGATTATAATATCCTAGGGCGAAAAATCTTGAAATATGATCTTGTACGTTCATACAAGATCTTGTAAGATCATATTATAAGATACCACAAGATTTCACAAGATCTTACAAGATTCCACAAGAATCTTGGTTCAGGAATCTTATAAGATTTCACAAGATCTTGTATGACCTTGCAGGATCTGGCGATAAGATCGTGCCAGATGTGGCAAGAGCTTGAAAGATTTCACAAGATCATATAAGATTATGTCTCTGATTCTGTACTATAGCTTCTCTACAGACCCTCTTTAAAAAACAGTTTTTTTCTTTTCGAGCATAGGAAGGACCCTGACGCCCTTAATAACGTGTCTAACCACGTTTCTTTAGCCATGCACTTTATTTGTGGTCAGCTGATGTGTGCAGTTGGCGAAAGAAAAAATGTTTCATCATAAGAACTATGTTTTATATATACTATATACTGTTGCAAAATTTATGTGGTAAGAACGAGTCATCGCTTCTTATAAGATCTTGTAACATGAAATCGTATGATCTTGTGATAAGAACTGACAAGATCATATAACTTCTGGTTACAAGATCTTATAAGATCTTAAGATTTCTTATAAGCTGATCTTGTAAGATCTTACAACAAGAAGTTACAAGATTCCGCAAGATCATACATGATCTTGGGATAAGATCTTACAAGTTCTTGCCAAAAGATCTTGCAGCAAGATTGCATAGGAATTCGTCAGATCTTATAAGATCTTGTAAGACGTCTTTCCCCTGGGATGCACACACACATCTTATAGAATTATACCCAACATAAACAAGAAAAAGAGAACAACAGCAATGTAGATTTATTTTCGCTTTTATGGTGGTTGAAAAAAATATTTATATATAAATGTGTGAATGGAAGAAGAAGTTGAGCTTTTATAATACCCATATTGCAGGATGTAGATAGAAAGAAATTCTGTCAATTCCAGCAGAATGTGTTACGCTCTACCTGAAAGTCTATTCGACAAATCTACTATGTTTCGGAAGCCTATGACACGGTACCAATTTCTTTATAGATTTTTCGCTGCTATAAATGCTGTCCACATCAACTGGTTATTGGAATACTTCGAAAAATAATTTTTAATTAAACGTAAAAAATGATTTATTTATTTATTTATTATAAATGTGGTGTGGGAAATTTGTTCTCGGTGATATTAATTGTTCCTACTTATATTGGTTTTGAAATTAAATTTATTTTGATAAGAAAAATATTTGATTCTTGATCAATTCTTTTGGATTTTGTGGACGCATGGATCAGCATTGCAACGCCCCAAAAAGAATTAGTATCTTCCTGGCTAATCTAGTAATAACCATCAATTTTTGGCAGACAATTTTTTCTGCCATATTGTCCTCAATCATTTTTAATAGTAAATCTTTATCTGCACGCGGAGAAGAAAAAATTGAAAACTACTGTTCATTTGATGATTGTACTATTGAACACATATCTTGCAGAAGTAAACCGTTTTGTTGTCTCAGGAGGGCCTGAAGCTTTTGATGACGGTCAATTAGCAAATAGAGACGATCGTCGAGTATAGAGACGGTATTATTTATATTATCTAATATTTGATCATTTTGTTGTTTCTCTGTCATATCGATGATATTAATGTTCATTCTCACGAGTATTCTGCTGAATATTTGGATTGATTGAATGACAGGCTGAATGAAATTTGTACCTAGTTATCTTTTACAGCTTTATATAAGTATATAAGCAAAGATAACTAGATGTTTGTTGAGGTGAAATTAATTAAAACAAGATTATTTTTATAAAATATGTGCACATCAGCTAAAAATATACTTTTAAATAAAGGATATGATACTTATAGCCATAATCTTTTACAATCTTGTCAATCATTCGATATAATTGGCAATTTTTTAATTAGCAGTGCTTAGGCGACTCTAAGACTTACTTTTAAGTTACTTTTTGCAAAGTTACTTTTAAAATTTAC